CTCTCTCTCTCTCTTTTCTTTTCTACCTCAGGTATAACTTTCTAACCCTGACTTGTTTGATCAGGTCGAGTTTTCTATATATGGCTTTTGTAACCTTTAATAATGTAACTGTTACGTTGGTTTAGGCTCCTTGTGTAGTTATCACTAGTATTCAATAAAGGACTTGTATGGTTAAGCAGGTTGCTTCTCTCTCTCTCTCTCTGAACTTTACTCTTTGGTGTTTTTAGCTTCCCCCATTTACTCTGCAGCAACGCTTCTTCTACCTAAGCTGAAGATCCCTATGGCGCCCAAAAATCCGGTGGGGTTTGTTCATCCAGTGGGTTACTGCCAGAACCATTGGGACGTGACAGTGGGGATAGGGAAGTGCTGAACCTGGGACATACAAGGGTGGCAGCTTGGAAGTGCTGCTTGACCCAGACTACTGAGTCCAGGGGCAGATAAGGGGTCAGCTTGATAGTGCTGATTGACCCGATCCACCCAGGGGTGTGTGTGTGTGTGTGTTCCCTCGGTTCTGGGGCTGGAGAAACCCAGCCCTAGGGAACCTAGGCCCTGCAGGACAGGGAGGGGACTTGCAGCAGGGAGAAGTAGAGCTCCGTATGAAAACACACGTGACACAAGCAGAACATTGATAGAATTACAGACCCCCCCCCCCCACAAGAGTAACCCAAATAAATGAGCGTACCCCAAAGTAATGGGCAGATCTGGTACCAACGCCCCCCGGCATATGCCAGCCTACGGAGCTCTGGTGTGGTCATCCAGCTGGGCGTCCTGCCTAATACAGGCCCTAGGACTTTTTTGAATTAATTCCTGCTTCAAAGCCGAGAGCTGGGCTCAAACGAGAGCAGGTTTTCTAGAAAAACATCCGATCGTGATATTAAAATGTCCAGTGAGGAAGAACCCACCACGACCCTCAGTACGCGGTTGCAGTGGTTGATTACTCTCCACGTTAAAAAGGGGGCCTCATTACTAGTCTGAATCGGTCTAGATTCAACTTCCAGCCACTGGATCCTGTTAGACTTTTGCCTGCTAGATTGACCCCCCCGTTATCAAATCTCTGTCCCCATGTAGGTATTTATAGACTCATAAAATCTCCCCTTACCTTCTCTTTGATACACCAGGTTGGGCTAAGAACATCCTCGTGGGACCTCCCTCGCTGCACATCCACTCCATGATCCTTTCCCGCTCACAGTTACATTGGGAGAGCTCGCGGTTCGTTTTTCATCTATGTAATGTGTGCTGCGTTCATTCTGTATCAGTCTGATTGCTTCAGCAAAATGCTGTGTGGTACCAAGTCAAAGCCAAGCCTAAGAATGTGACATCAACACAATTACCATTGTCAATCAAACCTGTAATCGCATCCGAAAAGGATATCGCGTTAGTCTGAGAAGATTTGTTTTCCATAAACCCATGTCGATTGGCGTTAATTATATCACCTTCCTTTAATTCTTTATGAATCACCTGGGATTGATGCCAAGATGACAGGCCTATAACCACCTGCACATCCCATTTACTCTTTGTAAATATTGGCGCAACACTAGTTTTCTTCCAGTCCTCTGGAACTTCCCCAGTGCTCCAAGACTTATTAAAAATCATCAACAACAGTCCAGCGAGCTCCTTGGCCAGCTCTTTTAAAACCTTTGGATGCACATCATCTGGACCTGCTGATTTAAAGATGTCTAACTTTAATAGCTGCTGTTGAACATCCTCCTGAGTTGCTGTTGTAATGGGAAATATTTGATCATCATGTGATGTGAATATACCACCTGGCTGTTTCCCATATGCTGAACAGTTCTGCCTTGTCTGCATTATTATTAACAGTTCTACCCTTTCCATCTAGTAATGGACCAACACCATTGTTAGAATTCCTTTTGTTCCTAATACACATTTAAAAATGCTTTCTTATTGTCCTTAACTCCACTAGCCATAGATTACTGCGTGTGTCCTTTTGCTTCCTTTATCAATTTTCTACCATTTATAGCTTCTAATTTATTTCATTGTGTGACACTTCCCCCAAGGGTACCCAGGGCTGTAAGGAACCTCATCGCCACCTGCCGTTAGTGTGAGGAAGTTTTGTCTATGACTGCTGTGTCACCTCCCTGACTACGCCAGTCTCTGACAACACAAGCACTCCCCTCCGGGCTTCTTTCTTTCTTTCTTTCTTTCTTTTTCTTTCTACAGGTTAGCAATAGGCACACCCCAACCCCTGAGTCCTCCAAGCATTCCCTGTAGTGTCCAGCCCCTCAGCCCCTGAACACTCATGAATCTACGAGGCCTGCTCAATACACATCGCAGCTTATTAGTCATGCCTTAGAACACAGCTCAGCATTTGCCCCAGGCCCCACAGGGGCCCCCACAAGAATATAGTATTCTGTAGTATTGCAACTTTTTTTATGGAAGGGGCCCCCAAAATTGCTTTGCCCCAGGCCCCCTGAATCCTCTGGGCGGCCCTGCTGGTCATTTATTTCCTAGGTGAGGGATGCCAAGGTGTCTTGAATAGACCAGCACAGACCTTTGATGTGCACCTGAAGGTAGCTCCCCACCCCCAACCTGCTGTTCACCTCTTCCTCCTGGTACTTTCCTCTCTTTGAAGCTTTCACAACCCCCAATTAGCATTGGCTCAGACATCTTCCTTAGTGGAATCTCCTTCCTTAGAGGTGTTTACGGTCAGGCTTGACAAAGCCCTGGCTGGGATGATTTAGTTGGGGATTGGTCCTGCTTTGAGCAGGGGGTGGGACTAGATGACCTCCTGCGGTCCCTTCCAACCCTGATATTCTATGATTCTATGATCTGAACCATGCACCACTTCATTTACATGTAAACAGGTAGATAAACATTCCTTGCCCAAAAGAAAACCTGTTTTTCACCTTTGCTGGGGACCAGTCTCGAGACACAGCTCTTAGGAACTTAACTATCAGTAAAAAGAACAGGAGTACTTGCGGCACCTTTGAGACTAACAAATTTATTTGAGCATAAGCTTTCGTGGGCTAAAACCCACTTCATCGGATGCATGCAGTGGAAAATACAGTAGAAAGATATATATATACACAGAGGACATGAAACAATGGGTGTTACCATACACACTCTAATGAGAGTGATCAGTTAAGGTGAGCTGTTACCAGCAGGAGAGAAAAAAACTTTTTGTAGTGGTAATCAAAATGGCCCATTTCCAGCAGTTGACAAGAAGGTGTGAGGAGCAGTAGGGGGGAAAATAAATGGGGAAATAGTTTTACTTTGTGTAATGACCCATCCACTCCCAGTCTTTATTCAAGCCTAATTTAATGGTGTCCAATTTGCAAATTAATTCCAATTCTGCAGTCTCTCGTTGGAGTCTGGTATTGAAGTTTTTTTGTTGTAATATTGCGACTTTTAGGTCTGTAATTGAGTGACCAGGGAGGTTGAAGTGTTCTCCGCCTGGTTTTTGAATGTTATAATTCTTGACGTCTGATTTGTGTCCATTTATTCTTTTATGTAGAGACTGTCCGGTTTGGCCAATGTACATGGCCGAGGGGCATTGCTGGCAAAACTATCAGTGTGCATCTAGAACTCCTTACACAGCATCCGTACATGCGCTTTGCAATGATATTGATGCCCAGCGTGACATACGCTTTCATTAGAGACCTCACGTGACTGTCAGGGAACTAGAATATAAATACCAGCGCCAGGGGATCCCTGTGTACCCCTTATGCGCTCTTCCCGCTGGCATCAAGAGGTCCCTGGGTTACCCCTGACTATCCACTTCCTGGGTCACCCTTTGCTATCAACTTCCCTGGGTCACCCCTTGCTATCCACTTCCCTTTTTACCCCATTTGTTTTAGATAGATAGATAATATCGTTGTCACTTTCCCTTCCCCTCCAAACCAGTTTTTTTAAACTAATATAGTCAGAGCCTTCTCTCTGAACCAGCAGATTGTAGCTTTGAGTAAAGCGCTAGTAAAATGGTCTTTAACAGTTCCAGTTATGACTCTCATTTCTCTGTTGTAAATTCTCTCTCCCCACGGCTTTAGTTTATCATCGGTTTTGGCTTTATGGAATTGGCCCTTTCAAAGCACCAGAGTGTTCTGGCCTGGACTTTGTTGTGTTTGCACCGAACATGTGGGATCCAGTCATGCTCCTGTGTACCTAAGGTAGCTCTACGGTTTAGTTCTGTGATCGATTCCTCTTTCCCCCGGCCAGGGGAGGGGTAATAGAGAATTCCTCTATGTTGGGGAGTTAGGTAACCATCATCTATAACGTTTAGAAATCCCAAGGATGTTTTAGTGCTGGCAGTGTGAGATCCCCAGCATGTCAGTCCGAGCGACGTCCCGCGCAATAATGGAGCTTCCCCCCCCCCACATTACAGATAGGCGTCTATTGAAGTTTGTGGAGAAATCACACATTTTTCCTGGGTTGGGCAGGGCATACATAGCAAATTTCGCGGATGAGTTCCCATACCATGCCACCCTTACTTCTGCGCTGCTGCTGGCGGCGGCGCTGCCTTCAGAGCTGGGCAGCCGGCCAGCAGCCACCGCTCTCCTGCCAGCGCCACTCAGCTCTGAAGGCAGCTGTAAGGATGACAATACCACGACCCCCCTACATTAGGCTTGTGACCCTGCAGCGGGGCGGCCTGGTTCCCTGCCGCCCCGGAGGGGGACGAGCCTCTCTGGACGCCAACGTGGGCGGAGCCAGCAAACCCTGCGCCCTCCCCTCAGAGGTCAAGGCGCAGGACAGGAAGTATAAAAGCCCGACCCCAGAGCTCACTTGGAACTCAGCCACCGGAGAGGCCAGATGCCTGTGGTGTAGCTCCCAATTGGGAGACCATGGCAATCGGTGGCTGGCCCGAGGACTGGCCAGACCAGCCAACGCCTGATGCTAGCCCGAGCCCATAGACACTGCCAGCCCAACCGCGCGCCAGTTACCCCGAGGAGCCGCCAAGCCAACCGCGCGCCAGTTACCCCGAGGAGCCGCCAGACCAACCGCGCGCCAGTTACCCCGAGGAGCCGCCAGCCCAGCCGCGCGCCAGTTACCCCGAGGAGCCGCCAGCCCAACCGCCCGCCAGTTACCCCGAGGAGCCGCCAGACCAACCGCGCGCCAGTTACTCCGAGGAGCCGCCAGCCCAACCGCCCGCCAGTTACCCCGAGGATCCGCCAGCCCAACCGCCCGCCAGTTACCCCGAGGAGCCGCCAGACCAACCGCCCGCCAGTTACCCCGAGGAGCCGCCAAGCCAACCGCACGCCAGTTACCCCGAGGAGCCGCCAGACCAACGGCGCGCCAGTTACCCCGAGGAGCCGCCAGGCCAACCGCCCGCCAGTTACCCCGAGAAGCCGCCAAGCCAACCGCGCGCCAGTTACCCCGAGGAGCCGCCAAGCCAACCGCCCGCCAGTTACCCCGAGCAGCCGCCAAGCCAACCGCGCGCCAGTTACCCCGAGCAGCCGCCAAGCCAACCGCGCGCCAGTTACC